CCAGGGGTGCCCAGCCAAGCAGGGGGGAATCAGCCTGAGTTTGTCCCCTCTTGGTGTTGGGGGGGTGCAGCAGCAGCCCCTCCAGAGTCAGGGGCAGGTCTGGTGCTGGGGGCATTACCTGCAAGGACCTGACGCGGATGCTGGTGTCTGTCCCATGTGGGATCTGTGTTCACCTGGGCAGGTGTGAAGGGAGGCAGGGCAGGTACGGGTGATACCTCATTGTCCTCCAGGTGGGATCATCATGCGGGGGTGGGGCACAACTCCACCTGGGGTATGCATGAGGTACACCTACAGGAGGGACTGGGGGTCCACACTTACCTGGGGCAGGTGTGATAGGGTGTGTAATAGGGAAGATGGTGCTATGCCACCATTGTGCAGCAGGGGGTGCTGTGGGAGTGCCTGTTCTCTCCTGGGGCAGGTGTGCGGTGGGCTGTCATGGGGTGGGGGGATGGGTGGACCCCCATCTCTTCCCCTCTCTCCTTGCACTCCCCAGCCCTGTGCCCAGACCACCCCACTCCCTGCAGCCCCGGGGGATCTGCAGGGGGCTCGGCTCCATCCCAGGGATTCCTCCTCAGCACCAGGATGGATCTGACCCCATGGTAAGACCACTACACTAAAGACTGGGGTGCTTTGCCTGCCTTTCTAGTGTGATCCCGGCCTCTGCCTGGGATCCGTGGGGTGTGGATTACCAACCTGTCACAGCAGCAGGAGGATGAGCACCGTGGCCCCGCTGCTTTTCCTGGGGCAGGACCAGGTGCGATGTCTGCTCTGTGTCAGGCGTGTGGCAGTTTGGCTAAGAAGTGCGATGAGGGTTTGTCTGGGCTGGTTTGGACAGGGCTGATGCTGACTTGGGCAGCAGCTGGACTGGAGGTGAGCTCTGCAGGCCCCCTCAGCCCCTCTCTTCCAGGATTTCCATGATGAGAACGTCCCCTAGAGCTGTGGCTCCCAACATTTTTAGACTGCGGACTGGCAAACCATAGACCAAAAGCAAACCCTTTCATAGATGTAATTACAT